AGGTGCTTATCTTTTCAGAGCCCTGTTAAGAGGAAGGAAAAGGAGGTTTGAAACTTGTTTGCTATGCTGGTGTTTGAAGTTTCCTGCAGTTTCAGATGCGGTGCTGTTAGGTTTTTATCGCTCTGTATCTAAAATGCCTGAGACAGCAGTGGCCCAACACCAAGAAGAGAGGGGGATTTAGAAAGGAGCCCTCGGGAACGAAGGGCTGTCTGAAGTTCAGGTCTTGTCCTGGGAGTCCTGCTCTCCAGGCTGACGAGCATGCAGTGTCTCCCCTGCTCCTCTCTTGCAGGGGAAAGTGTGTGCAGCGTTCTCCTGTCACGGGGAGGGATGTTTCAAAGGCAAGAAGACTGTTGCTAGATGCGTGGTCGGGCATGACTTCTGTGAGGTATGGCCTTGGGGCTAAAAAACGGGACAGCACACGAGATGGGATGTGCCCAGGAGTCTGGGTTCCTCCCCGTTAATGGGAATACTAAAGGCTTGGCAGGGCCCCCAGGCTAATGTCTCTCTCCTCCTTCCAGATGAAGAAGACGGGCTTGAATTACATGGCAGGATGCAGTAGAGCCTGCAAGGCTGCCAAACCAGTCTGTGCCAGCGGGACGAAGGCTGCCTGTTACCAAGAGTGCTGCCCCGCTACCCTCAAAGCTAGCTGTCTGAAACTGGATGGCAAGGTTCACGTCAATAGCGCTGGGCAGGCGGCTCCAGCCCCGCTCTGGAAGCTCGTGGCATGTGGGGTGGTCCTGTTCCTGAATTACAGGGTCTCAGCTTCCCTCTGGGGGTAAGCAGCAGTCCGGGTGCTCCGCAACCTGCCCTCCTGCAGCGGAGCTCCGCAGCGCTCGTTAGGATCCCTGTCTCTCTCTGCCTTCAGCCAAGGCTGCCATTGAACGCCCTCTGTTACGTCCCTGTCCCAGGAACAAGGTGTCCCGCTTGCAGGCGGCTGCTTCTCCCCCTGTGCAGGTGCCTCCCACCCACAGGCCGGCCCCAGGGCTCCGAGCGGAACACGGTGGCTGCAGGCTGTGGCGGGCTCCGGTCTCTGCTGGCGTTGTCCTGCAGCGCAACGTCCCTGTGCACTCTGCTTCGAGAAGAGGCTGCGGGCGTCTGCTCGGGCGCTCTGCCCAGGGACGACGGCTCCCACTTTTGAGGTGCTCAGTGAGTGGCAGGTCCTGGCCACGGGTGGATGTGCTCAGCTT